ATGATGGTGCCAACTTGGGCCAGTGAAGCAACATCCTCCACAACTAGACTGAAGAACAAAAAGACAGCAACTTGTCTGTTCCCTTTCCCCCAATTTCCCAGCACTGTTCCCATCTCCCAATACCCCCCCAAAAAAAAAAATCTAAAAAAAAAAAAAAAAAAGGAAAGGAATCTATTGGTCAGGTGAAACATAATTAAAGATGACTGTAAAAGCTATTAAGTATGTATGTTAAATTATTTAAAACTCTCAAACAGGGAGATAAATAGGTAGACACTGACAGTTAATATATTAAGAAAGAATGCACTGGCCAAACAACTTTATGAAAAATATTATATCCTGGCAAATCTAAATGTGCCAGGCAGAACAGCAAAAGTTAGATTAAATCAAAATTACAATCTCCATAAAATCATTTTGCATTAACATGTAACATTAAACAAATGACTTTCAGGAACAATGTTTCATTCCATTTAGGGGATTCTTCACACCATTTAAGGGTAAATTAAAAGCAGAATACGAATTTTGGTAAACCAAAATTTTAAGGGAAAGAAAGAAAAACTTTAAAACATGCAACATTCATGATTAACATTTTAAGTCCAGACACAATGAGAAATATAAAGGGTATGAAGAAAATAAATAAAGAGTTAGAGAAAAATTAGGTACCCCAAACAAATTTTATTCTTACTGTCTAAACCTCAAAACAAGATTTTACAAGAATGTTTTAGGAAGACAATCCTTTATACATATATGTCAATGCAATTAAAAATTTAAACAAAAATCTGACTGAAATAATTGTTAGACTACATTTTCAGTAGTTGATTTCAAAAGATATGTGAAATTTGCAAAAACTGAATCCCAAGCAAAAATTCATTTTAGAAAACATGTTTCTGAAAAAATTTTTCATTATTATAATCTGCAGTGTGCAAAATGGCAAATGATATGAAATATGCTACTTCTGCATCTTGTACATCAGACATTTGGACAGAAATTTTCTAAATTGATGATTAACTATTTCTGCTTTACTTGTCTGCCAACATTCCTAGGTCTCACAGCAACCAATATAATGGCTGGGATTGGAAAAATATTTCTAGAATGGCAAATCCATTTTGGAACAGTGCTATGCAATTGTCATTGACAAAAAACAGACATAATGAAGCCCATGAGTAATTTAGGAATTTCAAGCATATGATGTTTTGTTTAGTTGTGTGTGTAGAAAGTAAATGTAGAAAACCATAATTTAGAGAATTAATGGTTCTAGGAATATAGCAGGCCACTTTCATCATTCTTCAGCCAAAGACAAATTTTGTGGTATACAAGAGATTTTAGGATTACTTTATCAGGATATTCAAATAAAACATAATAGCAGCTCTTACGTGTTAAAAAGACTGACTGAATAAATGAAAGTATGCACTTTATTTGCAGAAAGCTAATGAAGAAATAACCAAACGTATACGTCAAAAAGTGCAAGTATTTTTTACAGGAACCTGCTAAAGATCCTATCGTATTAGTCCACTCCAGGAAAGATGCTAAATTTTTGTGCATGTGATATAAGCTTAAATGCAGATTAAAATTCAGAGATAATTTTGTTATCTTGAAAACCAAGCACATTGTTGTATTGCCACATTTTAAACTCAAGGTTTAAGGACAGATTTTTTCCTAAGGACAGATTTTGCTGTGAAGAAGTAAAAATAAAATATCAGAATGCTTTAGTTTGTGGGATTTTTATAAAACTGCATTATAACTACTTATCCAATCTTCAAGTCCAGAAATTGAAGAGGTAGGTCTTTTAATTACTATCAAAAAGGAAAGTTTAATAACTTACTAAAACACCATCAGCGGTTCCCTATACTGGGGGCTAGGCGAAAAAAAAGGTCTTTCTTCATTAATCTTAGTTGAAAGGGAACATGTATCTAATACTACAAAAATGCAGTATTAGTAACCACAAGAGCAAATTAGCAACAGACTGGTTATTATTCCTGTATTATACTATAATATGTATTTGTGTATTATAATATGAACTTGTGATAAATTTACAATTTTAAACAAATCTCAAGATTTATTATTAGAAGTTAATTCTATGACGATGATATTCATTCTAGGTCTTGACCGAATACTGATTTTAACACTGGCTATTAAGCAATCAACCAAAATGTGCATTTGTGGCAATTATAAACTCCAAATGAATGCTATATTTAGAATGTTGATTTTCCTAGTAGCCATATATCCAACATGAAAAAAAATTAAAGCCCATCATTACAAAGAAATAGCAATTATAATAACAAGGAAATACAATTTGTCATTCTTAAGACTGGCAATAATTTTTAAACCATAATATTCCATACAGACAAGTGTATGATAACATGGCCATTCTCATATATTGCTAATGCTTTTTAAAAGGCAATTTAATGATCCATATCACGTATCTGCCAAATGTTATATAGTTTGGAACCAATAATTTCTCTTCTAGGAATAGAGTTGTAGAAAAAAATGTTCAAGATCATTATGTTGCATTATTTACAGAAGAAAAAAATAAGACAATAGAATACTGGCTAAATAAATTCTATGATGAACTATTAAGCACCTGTTAAAATTATGTTTTGAAAAGTATGTGTATATTTATATATAAAGATTAATGAATTTGTCAATGTATTAATCACATTTCCTTTTAGTGATAAAATCATACATGTTTTTCCTGTAGTTTATGCTCGAGTGTTTAATTTCAAATTTTTCACAAACAGCATGTATTATTTTTATAATAAGTTTTAAAATCAGCTACTTTAAAATATAACCATTTAAATAGCCAACTCCTTTCATTCATATTCAACCATCATTCATATTAAACATGGCATGATAATTCAAAGCATGTTTAAAAGATTTTTTTATCATTATTACTCTATAGCATTGGTAGTTGTTCAAATTTTGATATATGGGAACAACATACACAGAACCAAGATATAACTCAATTCAATGAGAAATAATAAAGTGAGAGTCATGAACAAACAGTAAGTCAATCACCTGCTTTGTGTCTACCTCTCTGTTCACGAAAGTATTAAGATGATGGTAGGTAGAACTATTTGTTTTCATATTAGAAATTCTCTTTACTTCGATGTTCTGAAAAATGGAACACACAAAACAGATTACATTAAACGCATTCATTTTCACTTAAAGCTGGATCCAACACACACACAAAAAATTATTTTCATCAGTTATCCTTATTTGTTTTTTTCACATGGGATCATGCACTATATTTCCATTAAACTTGAAGTCAGGTTTAAAAGCTAGATTATATTTAGGCAAGAATATTAAATAGGTGATGCTGTATAGTTTAATGTATCACATCATAGGCACATAATGGTAAGTTGCTCCCCTAATAACTGATTCTAAGTTTGATAGTTTGGTTACAGTGGTTCTTGCTCATTAATAAAAGGAAGTTCTCTTTTCTTTTTTCAAACATAAGTAGGCCAATGAATAAATGCAGAAGAATAGATACTTGCCTGGTGCCAAATATCTTCTCCCAGATTACTTGGTTAATTGAAAATAGAAAAATATACCTTTATGATGGATATCTCGTATAATCACCACCATAACCAAACGAGACAAATACAGAATACGAGAAACTGATCTAGTCTCTTCAAACTAGTCACTTCAAAAAATCTGAAATAATCAAGTTGGCTAGGGTTAGGGGAGATAATGTTCTACATTAAAAGAGACCAAAGAGACAAAATAAGCAGAAGCAACAGGTGAACCCAGACTTGGATCCTGGTTTAAAAAGAGAAAAAATGCTGTAAAATAAGACAATTTAAGGACAATTAAAGGATTTTGATTATAGATTGTATATTAAATGATTTTAAGGAATTAATGTTAATTTTCTTACTGTGATACTGTGATTGCATAAGAGAATATCCTTCATACAAGAAGCATGCTTAAGTATTTAGGGTAAAAGGTATCTCTACAATTTACATTCAAATGCATACATATTAGGTTGTCAGAAAAATCATGGTGTATTTTTTTCTATGTGTTTCGTTGCAAAAATGTGTCAGACTTTTCCGACAACCCAATATATACATACAACTGTTTTAAATCTATACACAATATAAACAGCTATTAATTGTACTCTTCTTTTAACTTCTCTGTATTTTGAAAGTTTTGAAACTTTTCATAATAAAAAGTTCTGGGAAAAACGTATAACCTCATATTTACATGTAACTCATATTTGCCAAATCACTTACACAGACACTGATTTGCTTGCTTTTTGTAAATTTTTTTGACCTTGACTTGTTAGGGACATTAGGAATTATGACAAAGGTAAACAAAAGGCATCATGGATAAAACACTGCCTGCCTTTTAACATGGTACTGAGGGAGTGACTGAAATCTGACTCTTCCATTTGAATTTTGTTGGATCAAATGTGACATGGCAGATGGCTCAACATAAAAGCAGGAGGGCTGACAAAAGTGTTAAGAGGCAAACATCTAGTACTTACGCTGATCACACATACATATACTTGTATATACAACTAAATTAGACATTCCTGTATTTGTATAGGTCTTTTTTCTTTTCTACTTAATTTATTAGATAAAAATAACTGTGTGATTCTGATAATCATCCACATAGCTACTCAATAACCACAACAAGCTAATGTGAACAAGAGAACAAATTAAAAATAATTTCCACTTTATTTAAGTTTTTTTCCAAAAATAAGCCCTAAATCAGAAAAGTCCACATTTGACTCCCATAAAGACAGCGATCTCTCTCATTATTTTATGCAATCTTGTGTCAATTCATTAACTTATCTGAACCTAATGTCTTTATTTACAAAATGAGGCCGGCCGAGTGACACGTTGGTTAAGAACTGGCTTGGGATGCCATAGGGCCCAGGTTCAGATCCCACATATGAGGGCCAGTGACACTGCCCTCTACAGCTAAGATGCTGAACAACAGCTCAACCTGGAGCTGGGCAGCCGTGAGTCGCCGGCGATGGTGTAGGCTGTAGCCACAGCTGCAGTGGGCTGCCATGGGCTACCGTGTGTAGCCAGCAGCCAGCGTGAGCGGCCAGCAGGTGCAGTGAGTGGCCGTCCAGAAGCCGGTGACTGATCTGCCTCACCCGGGAAGAGCACAATGATGGTGCCAACTTGGGCCAGTGAAGCAACGTCCTCCACAACTAGACTGAAGAATAAAAGGACAGCAACTTGTCTGTTCCCTTTCCCCCAATTCCCCGCGCTGTTCCCATCCCCCAATTCCCCAATTAAAAAAAAAAAAAAAAAGGTATCTATGTACAACGACCAAATCCTGAATGTGGGAAAGTCTATAGAGCAAATACGCCAAGGTTTTTTTTTATATTTTTTGTTTCTTAAATATATACAGGGCATTTTCTTCTAAAAAGAGCCAAACTATTCAGTTTTTAAAAAATCAAAAACATTACAAGTTTTCAAACAACAAAAAGATTTTTTGAGACAATTGGGGAAAACTGAACCACAGACTGGATATTAGATGATATTGAGAATAATATTAGTATTGTGCTTAAAGAAAAAAAAGTCCTTATACATCAGAGATACCTACTAAAGTGTTTACAGGTAAAATGATACCTAGCATTATTTTTAAATACTCCGGATTTACTCATGTGTTACTTGTACAATTTAAAATTAAGTTAAACAAATGATATTTTGATCTACACAGAATTCTAATAGCAAAGAATTATTATAATCTTGTTCTTAACACTCAAAATAATTCACCTCAAAAAGGGTTGGAGGAGGAGGTGGCTGACTTGTAATTTTGGCAGATCTCTCTTTTTCCACAAGCAGTGCTTCCTTTCGAGCTTTTATATGCCTTAAAAAACAAGAGATGTCTTAAGTTAATCTCTCAGGTAATATTACAGTATAACCCTTAGGCTTAAAAATATAAAAGCTACAGGATCTCAAGAAATCCTCTAGTCTGATCCCACAGGCTCGATATGCTGTTTAATAAACTCCAGACACAGTGGACATGTAAGAAATGTTTACCATGTGAAAGAGATGTATCTAAAGATGTAAAGCTCTACAGTGGGGACTGATCCAGCACACAACTAATGTTCCTGAGTTTAGGACAGAGTAAAAAAACTAGAAATGTGAATAAAAATGGGCCACTGTATAAAATGACCGTTTGATTAGTAACAGCCTCTTACATTTTTATCATATGCAGGAATACTAAGGCTACCAAAGAGTCTACAACCTTTTAATGGTCTTAATCACACTGATTGTTTTTTCTTTTTTTTTATATCAGCAGCAGATATATTGGTTGACATGCATTCTGAACTAGCCATACATTTCTATAGAAACTTACAGTAATTGCTACTATAGTCAGATTAAAAGAGAAAGCTCATTTGTTATTATGTTCGCCTCAGCAAACCACTCCCTCACTGCATTATTTTTAAACCAAGTTAACAAACACAATGGATATATGATTTTTATTTAATAGCTGCTTAAATAATATCCATTGCAGCCTCTACTTCCAGCTATATCAATTTCCATAGAAAATATGGTAAAAATTGTTACTTTACCAGGTTTTTTGTCTCATTAATATTTCTTTTTGATTTTTCTGTGTTTTCAGGGCTTCTTTATGCCTCATTTCTGCTTTTCTTCTTCTTTCTGCTGCCCGCTGTGCCAGAGCATTCAAGTCAGGTTCCTAAAAACATGTATTTCTTAAATGCCATCTTAAAATTAAAAGGTAATATTATAGTACAACCCTTGGATGGTTCCCCAGTCAGGGCAAAAATCATGAAGGTGGCATTCAAATGACTGAAGTTTAGTAAACATTGCACTCAAGTTAATGGTGGCATAAATAAAGCTACAAAAATCTTATGTCAGAACTTAAGGTTTTTATTAAAAACACAAACTAAAACCAGGGACCCAAGAAATATATTTGATTGTCACAGTCTTTAAAGATATTTCTTTTCCTCACTAGTATTTTGGTATCAAATACCTCCCTTCTTTGGAAGCAGCTTGTTTATTTTGTGTGACTACCTCTGGGACTAAAATCTAGTACAGGCATACCTCGTTTCACTGTACTTTACTTTATTGTACTTAACAGTGCGTTTTTTACAAAGGGAAGGTTTGTGGCAACCCTGCGTTGAGCTAGTCTATCGGCGCCAGTTTTCCAGCAGGCTCAGATGACGGTTAGCATTTTTTAGCATTAAAGTATATTATTTATTTATTTTATTTATTTTTTAATTGGGAACAGTGTGTTTTTCCAGGACCCATCAGCTCCAAGTCACATAGTTGTTTCAATCTAGTTGTGGAGGGTGCAGCTCAGTGGCCCATGAGGGAATCAAACCGGCAACCTTGGTGTTATGGGCACTGCACTCTAACCAACTGAGCTAACCGGCTGTCCAGCATTAAAGTATTTTTTTAATGAAGGTATGTACATTGTTTTTTAGACATACTGTGATTGCACACTTAATAAACTACAGTATAGTGTAAACATAACATTTGTATTCAGTGGGAAACCAAATAATTCGTGTGACTCACTTTATTGCAGTGGTCTGGAACCAAACCTTCAATATCTCTGAGGTATGCCTGTACTTTCCAACCATAAATCACAATAAAAACAAAATAATGCCAGGAAGCAGTCTTAAATACTGAGTTAAGTTCTACTTTGTGTTTCTGAGAGTCATCAAAGAATTTTTACCATGTATAATGAAATCTAAGTGTATGTACATTCAACTATACATATTTTTGAGGTATAAGGAATGATAACAAAACGGGAAATTTGAGTTCACCCCCCTGGATTTGTCCAAAATGCTTTAAACCACAACTTCCAATTCAGAAGGTTACTATTTTATTTACCCACATAGTTAAGGGCTGAAAGAGAGCGATAGTTTAAACATCACAGGAAAATAGATTTTACTCAACATGACTCTCACTAGGAAATGAACCTAGCAGCATTCTTAAATTAAATTACAAATAAAGTTCAGGCTGCCCAAAACAAATTCTACAAATGAAAAAACATTTTTATCACACAAGCATTTAATGCATACTATTTACTTTTAACCAATATTACTACCACAGAGAAGTAGTCAAGTAAATGTTCACTTACATTTTCTTTGGCTTGTTGATGTCCCTCTCCCATATTTCTTAAACTTGCCAAATAGAGTTTTTCCAAGTTCTTTATTTTCTGAGTTTGTGATTCTTCCCATTCTGCCCTTAGCGCCTCTGCCAAACGAATAAATTGCTGATTTCTCCTCTGTTTTATATCTTCTCTTATCTGTAAAGCAATATCCCTTTCTTGTTCTCGAACCTAAAGAATGAATATTTAACAGATTATATGAAAAGAGGCTTACATCAAGTTTTTTGAAAAGCTATTTGGAAATAGGAACTTAAATGAATTCTCTTCAGGTCTATCAATTCTCTTGAATACGCATATTTTATTGGGTTGTCGGAAAAGTCATGACACATTTTTGCAATGAAAAACATAGAAAAAATACGTCATGACTTTTCCGACAACCCAATATTAGATAAGCAAAGAATCCAAGTGATACAGAAAAAAACTAAAATCTCCAGACAGCTTCTAAAATTTCCTGATTAGCTACTGCACCCTAAACCCTAACAGTATTGCCATTATCATTCTAATAACTTAAGAGGCTAAAATGTTTAAACATTATTCAACAAAATTTATAGCCCAGATGAGTACAGATAGAGCTGGATGAGAACTCCATACTTGTAATACATCATCCCCAATTCTAGGCAGAATGGCACCTAAAACGTGCTGCACGAAGACTTAACTTACTTTAAAAAGACTTCTAGAAATAAAACTTCTTAATAAATTTGTTTCAGAGCTAATAATCTTTCCAGTAAGTCTTTTTCAAAGTCATTCTAATCTTTCTGCTATAATCTTCATCAGTTACACATAACTTTTAAAATATTTAAAGAACTGTTTTCTAATAACTATTGAGTCAAATAATCCCTGTCCTCAAATTCTTCTTCAATCTATTTACCATTTCAGCCGATGTTTTCAAATGCTCCAAAAACTAGTTAATATGCAGGAACCAGGGCTCTTGTACAGCCAGAAAAGGTTTTCAATGAAACATTTAAAACACTCTAATGTAAAAAATACTAATAATTTGGGGAATACAAAGAATTTGAAATTTGGTTCCAAATAAATTTTTACCTGTAGCAATCTTAGTTTTCGTCTTCTTTCATAATCCTCTTTTAAAATGAAGGCTTCCTCATTGGGACTCAACCTCAGCTTGCCAGCATTTATTACCTTTCGTTTCATTTCTGTGTTCTTTACATATAAAGGTTCTGAATTTGAAAAACAGAAACTATTAAAATAGGGCAGCAGAGATGTCAATAATTTTTCAAATACATATTAATACATTTGACGGTGAAAGGGCTGTATACATGCAAATAGAGTAATTTGGGTAAACAAAGTCCAACTTACAAATACCAGTTATTAATTCAGCACTTATATCGATGGTTCTCAGATAGATGGGAAAGGGCTAAGTGGAGGGTGAATCAGAATTATGTGAAAAAAATGTTCCCCATCTACAGCAGATGGTTGTTTACCTAGAGTACCTGGGTCCTGACTGGGATTTCCAGAGTTTACCTAGCTTAAATGTAAAAAAGCACAAAGACTTAAAATGATGTGTTAGCAGAGAATAAATGTTTCCACAATTACAATTTAACACTTTAGACATTTGATAACTTGTTCATACCAGCAAGACTGCTGTGATTGCAAGGGTTCCTGGTCCTTAGATTCAACTCCCCGTTGTATGTAATTTGATCACTAAGTGTCACCATATTGTATGGAATCACATCAACCCCTGAACAGTAAACAATTCTTCAATAATTACAATGGTGTAATTTTTAAATTAATAATCATTTAAAACATTCCTCTTGGAACAATTCTGTTTGGATGAGTCAAGTGTTTAGATTCCCTGTTCTATTTTTCTAGGGGTACTGTTTATACTTGGGTATTCGCACTCTCCTCCCCAGATTAATGTGTCCCTATCTGGGAGAGTCTGCAGGGGAGAAATGGAAAGAATGTAAGAATCTGTAAGTTGCTGTAATTTGAAAACCCTCCTGAGGTGATTTTGGTATCTCCTCGTTCCCATTACTGTCATTTCCAAAAATCAGACATACAATCAGTATATGACCATGGTTTTACCTGAGGTAAGTCAGTATTTCGCAGGTCCCTTCACAATGACCTGGCAGGCAAACTAGGTAAGTGGGTATTAACTCTTTCTGAAGCTCGCTGAAGCCTCACTTCTCCAGGAAGCTGTTCTCTAGTAATTCTTGCTCCGCCCACCCATCCACGCCTTCCTGACTCGCTTACATAACCTTTACATTTCTATGGGGACTAATCTCACTTTCCTCTAGTTTTCCATCAATTCCAGTTTGCCCTTTCTAGTTAGATTCCTAACAATTGCAGAACAGAGCCTATAGTTTTAATATTAATTTAATATGTAACAACTACCAGGCAGTATTTCACTTAGGGTGGATGGATACTGTTTTTACTAAGGTGTAAACAGAATAGGGGCTAGGAGAATTCGGAGTTACCTAATGGGGGCTAACACTTTTCCCAGTGAATTCTCCATTAAAACACAAGCTCAGTGAGGGCAGGAATGATCTTATCCATGGTTTTATGTCCACAGCCTAGAAACAGAGCCTTGAACATAAAATAAGTACTTTAGTAAGTGTATTGGCTAAAAAAATGATTCATTCAGTGAGTTAATAAATGTAAAATGCTACACAGGTATACTTCATTGTTACTATTTTCAATAAGACTGATGCTAAAAAGGAATAATTGCTTGCATTTAAAAATGTTTTCCAATACATCCCACTCAGCTGATATTCACAAGGCTTTGGTAATAATAGGTGAAGTGCCATTTGTTTTTCCCATTTTATACATGAAGGCCTCTTGGGTTAAAGGACTTACCTAAGTGACAATATTTACTGGCAGAGCCAAGGGAAGAATCTGGCTTCCTTATTCAACATGGCTCCTAACTTTCTGACTTGCTAAAACATGAAAATGACGAATTTTGTTTAGGCTGGTATTTTTTGTGAGTGGGGCTTGAAGAACCGGAAAGAACTAAATGAAGAAAAAAAATCAGCAAGATTAAATTCAATCTTAACAATGGGTCTTTATTAATTTGTCTGAAGGTCTTAAAAAATTCACTCATATTGAGATTAAATTTAATTCCTGATAAATCTCAAAGCATGAAAGGGGAGTGGGGAGAGAGAACATACTATACAATTCCATTTATATGAAGTTCAAAAATAAGCACGACTAATCCATGATGAGCGGTTAAAATAGGGGGGTCATTCTTTCTGGAGGTTACTGACTAGGCGGGGACACAAAGGAGCCTGCTGGAGTGCTGGAAATGCTCTGTATTTTGATCTCTGTGGTTGGTTACACAGGTGTATACATATATACAAATTCCTCAAATGGTATGCTTAAATTTGTGTACTTTATTCTAAATTATACCTCAATTTTTTAAAAAATGAATTTTTCAGATTGTTTTGAGGATTTATCTTCTCATTTGCTAGAGGATTATAGGAAAATATACATACATTTGTTATTTTTACCTCCTAAGATGAAATAGAGTAATTCTTTTCTCTTTTGTATAACTTAAAAAATATACATTTGGAAGTAATTTCAGACTTAGAATTCCCATATTCTCTTTCTCCAGCATCTCTAAATGTTAACTAACATCTTACATAACTACAGTACAATGATCATACCAGGAAATTAACACTGGCAGAATACTTTTAAACTAATCTACAAAACAAGTTAAAAAGAACAAGTTAAAAGTTCAAATTTCATCAATTATCCCACTAATGTCCATTTTCTGCACTAGGAGCCAATCCAAGGGCAATATATTGCATTTGATTGTTGTGGCACTATGCTGGTACCAAGACGGGATTAACCCACAAAGGTTTTATTAGGGGAAATGCTTGTATGAGAAAACATGGTGAGCTGGTAAAAGCTGGGAACAATGCAGACTTTCATGCAAATACGACACTGAGCTGAAGGAGGGCAGAAAGTTGAGTAGATGCCTCTTAGACTGCCATGCCCCTTGTTTCTCAGGAACAGGCCTGTTATGCTCAGTGATAGGCTAGGCTCTGTGATTGGTTAGGAACAACCCATGAGGAGCGTCCATACATATGAACTTCAGAATGCAGGTGCTGTGAAGGTCTGTGCATTACATTCTCATGGCTGTGGAGGTTGTCATGTCTCCTTCAACTCTAATCTGGAACAGTTCTTCAGCCTGTCTTTCTTTTCAAGATGGTGACATTTTTTCAAAAATACTGGCCAGTTATTTTGTAAAATGTCCCTGGATTTGCATTTGTTTAATCTCTTCTTGTGGTTAAAATGAGGTTATGCATTTTTGGCAAGAACACTACAGAAGTGATAATACACCCTTCTCTGGGCATCACATAGGAGGTAAATGTGGTTAACCTTACTACTGGCGATGGGAATTTTGATCAGGCAGTTAAGGCGGTATCTACCAGGTTTCTTCACTGTAGTTACTACTTTTCCTTTGTAAGTATCTGATGGAGAGATAGTTGAGGCAATATAAATGGTATTCATCAAATTTCTGCCCACTCAGTTTAGCATCCACTGATGACTGTTGTCTGAAACAATTACTGTGGCATTTATCAAAAAGTATCTTCTACTCACACTATTCCTTCTACACTTATCAATTGGAATCCTACTGTTAGGAAGAATTTCCCCTGCTCCCTCATTTATTAACATCAATATGGATTTTAAAATTCTATGTATTACTATCCAATAACAGAAATACTATTTATCTTGCAAAATTTTGTTCTGATTAAATGGCACCTGGCATATTGTAATAAAAAATACTAGATTCAGAAGGTTGGGTTCAAGACCCAACATTGCCACTTACAGCAGGAAGACACCAGTCACGTCACTTAAGTCACTTTGGCCTTTTCTTAAACTATACAACGGGAGTAATAATACCTTACCCGACAGGTTCTAATGACGATGTCACTTACTGAATGTGAATCTGCCAAATGCTTTCTATGTAAAAACTCAAACGTTCCCCATTGTTTTAAAAGCTCAGTTTGGGACTTAATGCCCGAAAAATTAAAGGCGAAAGACACCAAAAAAGAGCAATGTCTCCGCATCAAACGATTCCGTCTTTTAAATGGCTACCAGGTTTCAGGCCACATCCGCGAGGGACCTCGGGGGAAGGGTGGGAAGGCCACACCGATTTGTTAGTTTTCAGCAGCAACAGCGGAGGCCCCCCGGCTGCCCCCGACTTGGAAGCTCAGGGGTCCCGCGCGACCCGACCCCGGAAGAGCGTGCAAAGCCACACGCGTGAAGGCCCCACGTAGACTGTAGCGCGGCGCGGGCGAGTCTGGGTCTGGGTCGGGCCGTGTCTCCTGCCCCGGAGCTCCTTAAAGCCGAGCCAGGGCCCGCGGTCCGCCCAGGCCTGAGACCTGCGGGCCGTGCTGCGTTCGCGGAGCCGCAACTTTTCGACGTCCCCTTGCTTCCGAGCACACTCCCAGCTCCCGGGCTTCAGGGAGTCGTCGTGCACGCCCGGGGGCGCGGGGAGGCCGGCGTGTCCGTCACTCACCCGAGAACCGGGAGCCGGGAACCAGGAACCGCAGCTCAAACAGAGAAGGCCACGGCACCCACCGCCGATCAGCTTCCAAACAGCCGTTCGTGCGCCTGCGGGGCAGCCATCGCCGAGCCGCCGTCACTTCCGTCATTCAAACCGCCCGCCAATGGCGGGGACAAGCCGCGGGAATCCGCCTGGTCCCGCCTCCCCCGGAGGCGCCGGGATAACCGCGCAGGGGAAAGCCCGTGCCTCGCGCACGCGCACGGGCACGGGTACGCGCGGCGCCCTACGTAGAGCCCCATTATTTCTCTCAACGCTGCTCTAAAGTTTTGCTTTATGTCTCAACATGCTCATTTCACAGATCAGGAGGCAGACCTCCAGATAAGGGGAAGATGTTTGTCCAGAGCCATGAGGGTGGCTTGAGTCTTAAGGTACACTCATGAAGATGCCTTGGAATTTGCATCCTTTTGTGTATTGAGGACACAATTTGTTTGGTATGATTGTTACAGTTAGTTTCTGATTGCTTTCATTAAAGGCCTCCAACTCGTGCAACAGTAAACCATGTTATGATCCTTTGTGCCTCCAGAGGCCTCATACACCTAGAACACATCAAGGATATGCTACAAATAACCTATAATCAGAAAGGGCATGAGTACAGGTTCATGTTTATTGAGCATCTATTACGTGCCAAGTGCAGTCTGCTAGGTGTAGGGGAGACAATAGTAAATGGATTATGGCCCTTATCCTAGCTTTTGTAGCCTAGTTAAACATACCAGGAATCAGGATTAGAAAAAGGGGTGGGGGGGAGAGGGAAGTTACTGACATAATCATTTCCATCTTTGTTTTAGAGAAGAAGTCACAGGGAATTACACTGAAGACTGAAGGCAGGGAAACCAATTAGGATACAACTGCAGGAAGTGAAAGATGATCACGCTGAGAATGGAGAGACGTGGGTGGGTTTAAGAGGCAAATAGGAGGCCAGACATCAGGAATTGGTAGTTACCTACTTATGGAAGGCAAAGGAGAGGGAGAAATCAACTGTGATGCCTGACTTCCATATTTGGCAACTGAGTGGATGGGGACAACATCCTATGGAACACAGGAACAGCAAGCTTGAAGGGGGACGTGAGTTAAGCTTTGAATAATTTGACTTTGTGCTGTTTATAGGATTCTGAGACAAAGGAATGAATTGCAGAAGTATTTAGGAGGCATTGCTAACAAAGATAGCATTGCTAACAATTGCATGTGAGGTTGTCAGAAAATGGAGAGTTGAGTTAACCTCGCAGGCTACTAGCTTGGGGAGCAATGTTGATGATGGTGCCACCAACCAAGTGCGAGTCAGTGACGTGGGCAAGGTGATGAGCTCAGCTCTGGACATGTTGAACGTGCCTGTGTTGAGCTTCATATCCAGTGATGTGCAGTAGGCAGATGAATACAATAGTAGTCCCCAGAACTGGGCTGGTATATAGACTTGGGGTTCATTTCCATATGAGTAGTAACCAAAGCTATAGAAGTAGATGAGATAGCTTAGGGAGAATTTGCAGAATGAGAAGAGCAATAAGCTTAAGACCAAACTCTGAGGAACACCAAAACTGAAAGGAGTTAGAGAAAGGAACTGTCAAGTATATGAAGAAATAGTGTGACCCACCTTGGTTTTACAAAGCTGAGTTACAGAGAGGTTCAGTGACTTGGCCAAGAACACAGTGAAGGAAGGAACCAGGACTAGAATCCATGTCCTTATCCCAAATACTAGGATTCTTCCTCCCTGCCTCCCTCCTCGCTTCCTGTAACATTTCTTGAATGGGTAACTGTTCATTCTAAACATACACTTCAACATCCTCAACATGGACTCAGAGATACCTTCCCACACCCAACAAAAGATATGTCCATTACTTCATGCCTTGGGTTATGTCTAGTGGTCCAAAAGCACCCTGCGTATTCCTCATCATGGCACTTACCAGTCCTTAATGAAATGAGCTGTTTATGGGGCTGGCTGTCTATTGATTAGACCCTGAATTCCTCAAAGAACCCGGAGTGCTTTTTGTTCAATTGCCTGCCACATAGAGCTTCTCAAATGTTTGCTGAATGAATTAATTATATGTCCCACTTCCCAACCTACATCCTGGGAAGAAATTCTACAACTGTAGATTTTGAATTAAGGCTTGTTCTATTTTTAACAGGAGGCAATGAGGAATCAAAGAAGGCCCAGCAGGCTAAGAGTCAGAGCGTCTGGGTTAGCATCACAACTCTTGAGGCTTTCTAGCTGTAGGACACAAATCCAAAGCCTTAGTTTCTGTTTTGGTTCTTTATTGTTGCCAACAAACCACCCTGGAATGTCCAAAATGGCTCGCTCATCACAGCTGGCAGTTGATGCTGGCTGTCAGCTGAAAGCTCAGCTGGAACTGTTGAATGGAGTGCCTTCATGTGGCCTCTCCATGTGGGCTGGACTTCGTAACAGCTGCGTTTCAAGAGGGAGTGTCCTAAGAGTCAGCATTCCCAGGGAAAGAAAGCAGAAGCTGCAAGTCATTTTGAAGGCCAGGCAGAAAAGTAGTTATAGTAAGTTCTGCCACATTTTATTGATTAAGGATCCTAGGGCCAGTCCAGATTCAACCGAAGGAGAAATGCACATCATCTCTCAATGGCGAGAGTGACAAAATTTGTGGCCATCTTTAATCCACCACTGTTTCCTTGGTAATCCTTGGCCTGCCCGCTTTACAGAATGGTGGTGAGACTCAAAAGGCATGACTCATACGAGAACACTTTGTAAACTCTAAAGAGGTATACACCTGTTAGGTAGTTTGACAGCTATTTTATTTTTTCCATCTAGCACCTTTCTGCCCTCTTCTGGTACAGACAGACCCAGCCCTCCAGACCACAGGGGTGGGCTTGTGACTCCCGACTGGGAAAATCATAGTTGTCTATCTCCTTTGCCTCTGGGATTGACCCAGGGATGAGTATGTAATCTGAATTGGCTCAGAGTCTTTCACATACATTTTTATTACCTGAGACAGCAGGGACAAATATTTTCCTTTCTGAGCTTAACGTTAGCATATAAAACTGGAACTTCCCCAGTGAGATTCCCCACCGTGTGGACCCCCACAAGCTGGTAATGGAAGAAAGAGTCTGACATTCAGCAAGGAACACACAGAGAGAACCCTGACTGTGTTCAAGTCCCTGGACCCAGTCGTCCCTGATGTCAGCCCATTCTGTAACTTACTGATAGGAGTCATTAAACCCCTCGCCCCCCTTTTACTTAAGCTGCTTCAAATGGGAGTTTCTCTTTTTTTGCAAATTAAAAGCTATAGATTTATATTTCAGTTCTCATAGACAAACAACTTCTGGGCATCTTGGGAAATAGTATAGAATAAAAGTTAAGATTTTGGACCTGGAGTCCAACTGCCTGGAGGCTTAGCAACTCTGTGACCTTGAGCTAGTTCCTGAGCCTCCCAAAAAGTCAGTTTTCTCATCTTTAAAAGGGATGTAGTAAAAGTGAAATTGAAAGCTCTTAAGACAGTGCCTGGCACGAAGTGTGCAGTAAATGTTATCTTTTTTGGCTTTTATTTTAATACATTAATTTTAGACTATAGGAGGTAAAAAAAAAATCCCTCTTAAAATGTGTTTATTGGTGTTTTGGATTTAATTTTTAATTAGGTCCTTTTGTATTTTATAGGCCTAGGAAGAAGTATGTATGCTAAGGTTTTTGTGTTGTTATCCCACTAGGAATGAATGTTAATAACATTGATGAAGGGGAAGCATTGCCCTTAGGCAGTAATGGCATTAGCGTGACTGGTCACCATGAAATGCTGCCTCATCTCAAAATGCAACTGAAGCCATTTAAGGATTGGATTAGTTTAAGATGTTTCTTTGATGGTAATAGTTTCACTGCTCTGAGTTTACTTTAATCTTTATCCATATCCACTGTGAGAGACTGACATTAAAGTGGGGGGAGAAGGGCTCGATAATTCTGTATAAAATCCAGAAGATATGAATCTCTGCAAGAACAGAAGTAATCAAACTTCCATCTGGCCGTCTGCAAACTGCTCTCTTTCTCTCTGGAATAAACACCACAAAAGCTTAAAAAGTGATAGTATCTCAATAGGATAATTTAGAGCTGCTACCAGGAGTGAGATTAAGAGTGCCCAGCAGGAGAGGAAAGATGGGCTGGAAAAAGCTTTTAAAAGCTATAAATATACTTTTATAGGTGTGTGGGTAGGTGGGCAGATGGGGAAGAACTGGGCCATTTATTCAAGGAGAAATGAGAGGAAAGAAGGGGGAAATTGATTTTGTTTCATCTTTTAAATCTTTTCAGCACATTGCAAATGATACTTATTAATATTATTAATATTTATTAAGCCATAAGTGACTGTGAGTTGTATACTTAAAAAGACAGGGACACCTGAACAAAGCGGGGAGAAAAGGGATATTATTTACAACCCAGAAAAGTACATAGTAGTTGAAGAGGATCAGGTCGGGTGGGGGTGCGTTTTGGAGCTGTAGTCAGAAGATATGTGTTTGGACATCTGCCTTATCAACAGTTAATCTCTCTGAGGCTCAGTCCCTATCTATAAAATGGGGATAAAAATACCCCAAATTTATTGGGCATGCTATGTGCCAGGAATGTTAATACCCATCCTGTCTCATAGAGCAGTTGTAAAGGCCAAACAAAAAAAGTTGTAAATATCCTACATAAAAGCATGAATAACTATAAAAGATCATACTATTGTACAATTTGGCCACCAGTGCAAAATCAGGGAAGATAACTTCTGTACTGCAGTTTCTTTGCTACTGCCATTTGACCTGTTTTAACTGATCCAGCTTTATACAACATGAATTAACCCTTTTGGGTCAGAGTTCTCTTTATCCAAAATGATTTCCATTTACTCTGAACATAACAGAAATGTACACCCTTGCTACCCAAAGTGTGGTCGCGGACCAGAAGCATCCTCATCACCTGGG